TGTGAGAGGAATTATAGCCTTCAGAAGTGTCTTTCGAAACCAAAAAAAAAAAACAAAATGAATTCTGGACCTAACGTTATATGGACAAACACATATTTGGCAGTGTGAAGTTAATAAAGTTGACAATTTGCGCTTGAGTGAACACACGGACTGATGAGTGACAACCAAGATTGAAAAATAGGTCTGCTTTGCAGAATTTTAAGTAAAAATTAACACCTATCAAAGTTCGGTTGTCCCTCCTACGCGGGATGAACCGGTAAGATTCGGGAAAAATAACCCGCGGTAATCGAGGTGGCCGCGCAGAAGGAGCAATTTAATATCGCCAATAATAACACTAAACCTAACTCAGATAAGTCACTGTGACAGGCATCGTCAACCTAAGAAGTTTATTTCGAAGGCGTAGTCAACAAAGGGAAGGTTGAACGATTACTTATAGATTTGGCACGTATTAAAGTGCCCGATTAGTAAACCTGTAAGTTTCCGCCCGGTCATTCATCTACGACAGAGAGGTTAGAATTTAGTTGAGCATTACCGCCAAATAAAGTGGAGAATAGAATTGCAAATCCTGGGTCATTAGTCGGTATTAGCCAACCGTACCCAACCCTAGGTGATGTACCACCCGAGGCTCGAACCCCGCGAGCTGTGGGTAAGATCTCCAATGCCCTAATCCGTTGCACCTTGTGCTCGTCCACCAACAATTTTTCATGAAAATACACAAACCCATGGGTGATAAGAAAAAGGAGTGCGGAACAGAGAGAAGTTGAAAGAAACAAATCTAGTTTGCTTGAATCAATTGAGAAAATGCAGCGCAATCACAGCTTTTATATTTCGATTGCTCTCCTTGGGCAATATCAACCGGAACTCACGATTCCCGGTATTACAGACAGCTTTGATCCAAATTCCAGGAGATTAAAATATTACCGTGTTATAAAGCTTAACCTAAACATTGACTTTCACTCAGCCCCGACAACCCTAACCTAATAGGTGGAGTTCCTCTTCCTTGGTTTGACCCTTTAGCAATATAAGAATGATTAAAATGTCTTAAAAGGAGTCTAGGATAAAGACCTAAATAACGATTCGGAATATTGAGTAACTAACTCTCAATATAATGTATAAGCTAAGAAGTTGTCTAGGACCCTACTTAATTGTATAACCTTAAACGTGCTTGGAATGTCAGAGCTAATGGAGTCTGCCGCAACACACGTGGAACTCTGTGGACGCACTTGTGCGGTGAATTCGGTTCAAGCTTCTCTGCGTTAAACGGAAAAGCGGTTTAGCGAGATGACTTTAAAGTTCGCATTTTGATCCTATTTATGAGTAAATAGGGCTTTCGGAGCGTGTGAAGGTCCTGTGGGATGCCAGTAAAACTAAACACGGTCACATTTCACGCTCCGAAACGTTTGCTAAACACCAAAGACAAAGTCAAGAATAGCACAATGACAGACAGCAAATTAAAAATATTCAAGAACTTAGTGGCACGGAACCGATCCGAACAGAGAGAGACACACGGCAGAAGCCTACCGGCACACTGAGTCACGGATGACACCCCTGACCTTGCCTGACCCCATTACAATCAGCCACAACTGCATGCTGTAAACTCACCCTCCCCGCCCGCATGACTGTCTGTACATCTCCCTGTCTGCACACTCGCGATGTTAGCTGTTTTGACACATTTACTATTCTCTGCGTCTGATAATGAGCTGGGGTTCCAGTCTCGAAAATTCATGAAATAAATTTCTATTTCCCGAAGAACGTATTCAACCTCAATTTAAATATGTATTTAAAGTGTCTGATTAGTAAACTCGCAAGTTTTCGCACGGTCATTCATCCATCCATCGTGGCGAAGTTAGAATTCAGATTAACTAGAATTGCAAATTCCGGGTCCCTAGCCGTTGTAAACCAACCATACCCAACACTATGTGATAGAGCACCCGAGGTTAAACTCGAAACCCGTTATTTAGGAGCCCAGCGTTCCAATACGTTGCATTTAGTGCTCATCAACCAATTTGCCATTCGAAAAAAACGCAGATACACAAGTTCATTGGTAGGAAAAAAATGATTGCCTGATAAACATCAACTTAACGAAATAAGGGGGATCCTGTTCCTGTGTTTGTTTGCTTTAATAATATCCGTGTTAGCTTCGGGTAGTATAAACATGATTCAAATGTCTTTAAAACTGATAAAATGTATATTATAAAGACCTCACTAAGAATTCGAAATTTTGAGAAACTAGATTAAAATATAATGTATGAGCTAAGATGTCGCGTAGGCTTCGACTTTTTTTCATTACTATATACCTGCTTGGAGTGAACGTGTTAATGAAGTCTTTCTCAAAACACCTGGGATTATTTGAATGCATTTGTGTTGTGGATTTAGTTCACGATTCTATACGTTTTTGGGGAAACGTTCGGATTTTTATCGGGTGCAGCCCTTGCAGTATGTAAGTCAAACTAAAGATGCTCAAAGACCTCACTCTCAAAATGGTTTTAATAAACACAACACGAAAATTAAGTCTTGGTCAAGCATACCACAATGACAGACAACAAACCAAAATATGCGAGAATAGAGTGATAAAGGGGAACTACAAAACGTACCTTAGGTGCCTGCTTGCCGTCCAGGAAGATATTTCGCGCAGCCAGACCTCGATGAACTAACTTCCGCTCCCCTAGGTATTTTAAACCCTGTGTTATGCCCAGTGCTATCTTGTCCAAACCCAAATTCTCTAGATCATTCCTTATTGCCTTTTGAACATAAGAAGATAGGGTTTCACCGCGTACTAGTCCAGTAATGATATAGAGCATTTTGTCTTGAAAATCCCAGCCACACAGCCGAACCAGATTTTCGTGATTTAAATCGAGCATTACGGCCACCTCCATGAATCCAGTGACGAATATTTCGGATTTCCGGGGAACCAGTTTGACGGCGAACTTCTGCAACAAGAGGCAGCACAGACAATTGGGCTTAGGATCTCGATAGAATTTCGTTTACCAAATGAAGCCAACGAGGTTGGCTACACGGAACGACATCATACTAAAGTGCTGTGCTCGCCAAAACAATCAGCAACAAGGAATAAATAAATGCAGGACTCCGAGGATGACTAAGTCTTTTAAAGACTGGTTTGGCCTACACGAGTAAACTTGTCACCTTACCCGATTCCTCAACTTTTATACTGCCAAAGGGATTATATCAAGCAAAGTGTTTCTTCAGCAAGGAATCCGACTGGACAGTGAAGTAAGCAAATAATATCTTACCACCTAACAGATATCGAGATGTGAAACAGGCGAGGTGGCAGTATGGTCTGATATGCTTTTTTTATTTACCTCTATTGCACACGGCCTGAGGGCATTCTTTTTTTAGAGCTTCTTGTAAGCTCTTTTTCACATATTCCATTGTCCAACCCTTCAGGTTCTCTGACGTCTGACTTGGGGAACGTTCTGTTGTCGACCACCACACTGGTGACAGATTACATAGGGCTTACATCGCAGTCCTGACATTTTGTGTATGGATTCGACAGGGTAAACATGATCAATGGCAGTTGAGTGCAGTATAACACAAAATTAGGACCTTTAATTGTTTAAAAAGTACATATTGGTGTCAGGTAAGACGCATGTGCAACTGGTCGAACCTTCATCATTAACGTTAAGATACTTCGAAATAAAGTGAAAAGTCCTTACAATTAGGCCGTAACTGTTCTCCTAGAATATTGCTGCTGTCTCAGCGATGGATGAAGTATAACCATTATGAGCCTAGTGTTTTCTAAACTTATTCGATACTATCGTCAGACGACATCGGAGATAAGAGTGATGCAAACACAGAGCGTATTAATTGGACACTGTTGCCTTGCCCACCCATGCCTACTACGGTGAACAGCATCCACACTCATCGCTAAGCCGCTCACTGGATGCAAACATCGGTTGTTCGTCCACACACCCGTACTGAATGAGCGCGATTTGGCTCACTGTTGTTGATAAGCGGCGTGATTACTGCCCAGTAATTGGTCACGCACGCACAAAGTACCTACCCTGAGCCTTTAACTAAATATGCTTGCTGACATATGGGCAACCGACCACCTATTCACCGTAAGATATTTGTAATGATAAACTACAGTGGCAAGGCCAGTCGGTAATTCTTGCAAAAATAAGACATTTTTGACAAAAAGAATCTAATATACCTTGCCGTTGAGTTTTCCAAGTCTAATATTTCTAAACTTGCCATTTGCCGAGTTTTGCTCCAGATTAATTTCTTGAACGGATTTCCGCCATTTCGAGACCTGTTCACAATGCTCAATGTCCGTGAGCCGGATCATGGGATCGCCCTCCTTTCTGATTGGCTTTCCAAGCTCGATATCCGGCTGGTAACGAAAAAAGTGTTTTATTTTCAATTCTTCGTACAATTTAAACGCAGTACATCAAAAACCATTAATCAACTACAGTAGGCGCCACAATTCACGCAACATTTCGACATAGGCGAAAAATTGATACTCTTTCG